CTACCTCCCATGGTAAGGACCCTTTTGAGATTGTGTGGAAATGCCTACCTACAACTTCCTTCCTGAAAAAATAAGAAGCAGAATGCCGAAGTTATTCCTGCCCACTACAATCAACTTTAGCCGCATCGCATCTTTCACTCCCATACTCCTCTTCCCTTGATGAACCACAGCCCACCACCTGTCAATATGAAGTTCCAGTTGCTGTGGGTGCAGGCTACCCAGTTCCTCTTTTCAGCACTTAGGACGGTGCCTCCAGAGGAAGGGGCAGTGTAATAAAACCGAAACCTATATTATAAACGCGAATCAATGTTTTATTTCCTTTACTTGCAGGAAGATATTCGAGAGTCAATTATTTGAACCAGGAGATACAAGAATTGCAGGACCTAAACTTTAACGGAGACCCATACAACTGTTTGACTCTAAGACTGGACTACCGCACCTTTTTAAAAGTTGATTTCGTGGAATAAACGTTCCCTACACAGCTCGTGTCCTGTTTTCATTACCTTTGTGTCTGCTGCTTTTTCTGTTACACGCAAACTTGTTCTGACTGAAATCAACTAAACCACGCAAATAGCAGCAATGTAAAGCAGGTGGTGGTGCTTCAAAGAAGATATGACATGTAATGGCCTTTGGAGATAATTTATTTTCTCACCTTTTAAGATCCCTCCATGATAGTAAAAATGTGAGGCAATTTAAAGGAAGAAGTCACAAGCCTGTGATTGGTGCTGAAACGTTGTAACTTATTTTCCTTAATTCGAAACTTGATACAATCCCTTATCCAATATAACCGTATTTGCTAAACATTCACCACACAGTCTTCTCTAAGTTTCCTGAATTATTCTTTGTCTCGGGTTCGCAGTGAAACATGTGGCCTCAGCAACACACCTTCATTGCATGTCGACTCCATGATTGCCTACAAATATCCGTTTCCTCTTCACTCTGTCTCCTGCTCCTCAAATTCGGACCTCCAATTGGTTTTCAATGAACGGTCAGGCATGTGATATCACTGATCGGTCCGGTCATGGGATGTACAATTTCCGTCTCCTTCCTTATATATGTTGGATGAGAAATATTTAGTTGGCTGGTTCACCACCTGCCAGATGTAATTATCTTTCCTGGCTGGCCATCTTCTCTTAAGGATCAACCGACAAAGCCCGTTGTACATGAGTATCCGCAGTAGCCTTTTGGAGATACCATTAGTGACGTGCGTGTCAATTCCCTGAACCATTTAGGAGTAATGACAAGACATGTGTGTTAAGAAACTCGGATGTTTGGATTTGTGCTCAGTGCTACGGGTTTTATCTTGTGATGAATGCATGCCTTACCATGCAGAACTGAACCCGTCTGGCTTTGACACTCTCATCCATGTTGTTTATAGTTGCAAGTAATTTGTCTGGTTGGTTAAGGAACGTCTTCCTCTGGATCTCTTCAAATGAGGTTGATAAGTGTTTTTTAACGGCGTGGGTGTTTACTTGAATTCCTATTTCCGCTTCTTTCCACACCAGCTTGTTGGTTGCCGTTGCAGTTTTTGACACTTGAGAAATGAAGTGACCTGAGAAATCCAAACCTTATAAGATCTTTTGTTGATCTTCCTATGGTCTGCCCAGCCCATTACAATCAGGGAGGTCATCAGTGATAGCTGGCAGACTTGTTCTTTCCCCATCTTCACTTTGAAGACCCAGATAAGCTGCTGTTGTGAAATGCTTTGCACATAGCAAAAATGTATATAAGTTGAAGGATTCCTATAAATGTCTGCAAAATTACAGCCGATATTGTAAAAGCAGCTGGCAGATTACTTCAGAGTGAACTCCATCGAAGGCTTTTTCAAGGCTGATGAAGTTATAAATGAAGAGTTGAGTACCAATTTTAGCTTCTTCCAATGGTACTGATAAGCGACTTTGAGGTCTGATCCACACCTGGCTTACTATACCTGAATGGAGCCTGTTACAAGTGACGCACGAATGATTTTTGAGGACATAAACTTTTAATCCTCGACCGAACCGAAATAAAGCCGAATGGTTCAAAACAGAGTCAAATTGATTAACACGTCTTGAAGGGCTGCAAGCCTATTGTGCTGGTGAACAGGTTCTATTGGATAAACATAGTACAAACATTCAAAAAGGAGGTTATCAGGCGTCCAAACAACAAAAACGGAATAGTCGAACTCAAGATTAGCTCGCCATTAATAAATTATCAATTCAAACAAGAAATGTGCAACAATCCGGTTAAGCACGAAGGGTATAATTAACTCCAATTGCAAAATGGTATATGAAGGAAAACTCTGATGTTTATAGGTGAAAATATTAGACATAGCATAGCCTATTCCAACCAGTGACGATGCAGTTTTATATTCTGCCCAGTGTAAACGGGAGCATGATGTCCTGCCAAATTATGCATAAGCTTTAGGTGTCTCTCTTCGTCATTATGACAAAATAGCTTTCTTCTAGTCGATAAGTATGTCCCCAGGCAACCTAAAGAATGGGTGCGCGTACCGCTGGTTATATTACAGCACCCGCCATTATGACGGTGCCAGTGTGAACTCTGTGCACTAAGCGAGGTGCAGTTTTCATCCTGCTCTCATTTCTAAGTGCTGTTTAGACATGTTTGGGTTAGGATTAGTATTAGGGTCGGATTTGAGGTTAGAATTACGATTAATGGGCAAGGCATTTTACCACAGTTTGCGTTTTCCTTTTAAATTAATTAGCGATAGGAGAGTGTCGTTGTTCAGACAGATGCAACGGTTTCAATGGAAATGAAACGTGAAAACGGATACTCTTCTTTGTTATTGGGAACAATTTCTAAGGTATATGAGGGTAAAATAACGTCTAAATTGTGTTTCATTGCAATTAGATGTTTTTTCTCTTAAAAAGCGGCTTCGTTATGTAAAATGCACGGCTTTTTCTCACTGGCATCTTTGTATGCGCACTCTGTGACCACTACTGTTTAGGTTCGTTATATCCTTTTCCCTGCAAACCTTCAGTAATATTTGGTGTGAGCACGTTCACCACCGTCTCTGTATTTGTTTTCAGAGCTTTTGGTGGAAATTCCGTGTGGCTCTGACACTTTGGCGGTTTCCAGTAACTCTATGACACTAAAGACTTCTACTTTTGCTGCAGGGTTAGTGTTCAGTATTAGTTGTTTTTCTGCTGGTGGTCATTGTACATCTGGGAGCGTTGTGGGTGGTGGTAGATCCAACAATCCCTCCAGTTGATCAGTCAAATGTCTCCTTTCTTTAACCTCTTTGGTAATTGGATTTTCTGTACTATCTTTCACCGACTTCATCTGAATTGATCTAACTCCACACCAACCTTGGTAATTAACACACTGTTCTGAGTTACTCCCAACTTGCAGCTAATTTTTTCGTTCATTCAATAAAGTATCACAAAAGCATCATTTGTCTTTCTCAGGCATTCTTTATTTCTCGGTTCATTGCACTGTAGGTCATATCTAATCTCTTCTTGATCTTCCACTAGTTCGCCGTCTACGTCACAATCCTCCCCTCGATTTCTAGGCAGGAGTAGAGCAACTTTCTTCATCTTGACTCTTTTTTGTCCCCAATCGCTTCAAAAGATTCCCGATTTTCTTTCACCCATGTTTTCTCAGTAATGTCCGTCAGTGTTTCAGAAGTTTTCTCAGTGGTCAAAGCGAAGGTACATTTTGTAGCCTCGACCTTAATTTTCTGAGAGTTGAACTTGAACTGTGGTCTATTTCTAGCTCCTGTAAGGGTCTGAAACTTTAGCACGAAGGTTCCGTGCACTGATAATGACCACAACATGCATTCGATTCTCTTCTCGATCTTGTTTCCAGTAGGCTACATCTCCACTTTCCTGAGACTGGTATGAAGTCCATCTGATATTTGGCTTATCTATCCGGTTAAACTTGCGCATGCCCTTTGCCTGCAGTCTCCACATCACTAGACCATCTAAGACTGCTAGAAGTTATCTGTTCTCACTTATTTCTCCTACAGCCTTTGAATTCATGACGAGTTTTCTACTGCTTCTCACTTATTCTTCAATCTGAGCAGCCTTGGCACTACCAAATAAGTAACTTAAAATTCTTGATCCTAGTGTGGTGAGAGCTGGCTTCTAGCCATGTTGGTAGACAGTAATTTACATCAATGTTTACGTCCTCAATATTGGTCGTGAGAAAAATAAGAACAAAGACACTGATTCAACAACCAATCACAGCAGACTTTGTTTGCGTAGGCGGATAAAATTTGCAGAGAGATAGTTTGAACTTCAATAAACTGTCACAAAGAGATGAAAGATTAACGTTCAGCGAGAAACCACCAATCAGAAGACTGTGTTCGTTTGCTTACAATAATCTATACTAATGTACATGAAAATCTATAAACATCTGTTGATTCCCTAAATATATAATCTGTTGCCTGGCCCTTGTCTTCTGTTGTTACACTAGTATCACTCACGTACAGTATACATAAGTTATCCTGATCAGTGCAGTCAAATGTATCAGTGAGAGAAAATCGCAGACATGAAAAATAATTTCATATGATTATTTTATTTATTATTATTTATTTATTTTATTCCTTCACGTTCCCCAGTGGATTATAGGGCTTCAAGCTAGTGGCTTGAAATTTCTGAAGCAGTGTTTATTTTACAGGATGGGGTTGCCAGCCTCATGCCCAACCTTTCCTCTTTACCAGCATTATTTCTGGCTCAGCGAAGTAGAGGAGTGCGTCGGCCAGGGATCGAACCATGGTTGGCGAGCGTCCTAACCGCTATACCACCGACACACATATAATATCATACCCGTTAAATAGGAGGGGGCTTGGTCGATAACTCGCTGACTTTTGAAGTGATAAATATTAAGTTAAAGTCACAGTGGGAACACCATCACACATACACAGTCACTTACAGCGGAGCGAGTTCACTCAGGGGAACACTTTAGTGCTAGCCGCCACGAAAACAAGTAAATTCCATCCAGTTTGACAATACTTATTGGAACCACAAGACAAAAGGTAGCAAACATGCAAACAACAACATAGTATTATTGATTACTATAGGATTTTTGTAAAGAAAATAATGAGTATAAAAAGGAAATGTAAATTAGTTTACTACGTTTGTGTACAAAGTATATATATGTATGTATGTTGCGATGTATACATTTAAAAAATGATATGCATTGTACTCTGCTGTGGTATTGTCACGACCAAAACAAGCGGGTAGATGAATCCATGTATGAAGAAATATTCACAGACATGCACGTAAAAAACACACGCACACACACATACACACGAGGAATACAAAAGTTTCAGTAATGATAAATAATTATGACAGCTAATAAATAAATTGTTCACTGTAAGAAATATAATCTCAACTGTTGTTTTTGTTGTAGTAATGGTTGTTTTTCTATATTCCACTGTAAATAATCTTACTAAAATAATGCATAAAGGAATATATTCACAGTGAGAATGTAAATAATCTTTGTGTCTTATCAGTGACTGGCTGATTCATGTAATCTGTCGATTGATAATAATTGGACATTGAACACTGTGTGTTTATATATATCACAGAAGGTTTTGAAAACTTGGAAAAGTACATTGTTGTTTTTTGAATTTTTAAAAATAGGAAGATATTGTTTTTCATTCTATTTACATACAACAGAATTTCCTTTTTTCTGGTTCCTTTACAGTTGGTTTTTCAATGGGAAGATTATTGGTTGGTGAAATACTCGCCTCTTGTTCATTAAAGGATGGATGACTACTGACCACATTGTAAATAGCTGTAAGGAAATATGATCAAATAAGGTAGTTAGAAGGAATGATTAGAATCTATTAAGTGATCGATGCAACATATATCTATCTATCGATTAGTCACTCAGTAGTAACCAGTGTCATGTGCCTAGTCGTTAGTTGTACAGATTTTCGCGGAATTCTGTCAACATCAGGGTCATCGGTCTAGGCAAGTCGCTTCACTTGAGATTGGCGTTAACAGGGTTAGAGACATTAGGTTTCGACTTATTACTTGATTTACTGATTACAGTGTCTTTAAACACGAAATACAAAACAATGTAAGACCACGCACAACACCATCTTAAAAATTTCAGATTGTAAGTGACCAACATTTTTGTGTCCTACCAAGGATGCGGAAGCGAAACGGAGGTGACTCTTCAGCAGTAACCACTCATCGCTCCACCATGGATATCGAACTTGTGACCATAAGGTTACAAGGCGAGCTCGTACACCACTGAGCCACTCAGATGGAATCCAGCTGACCTTCAAATCTAACTTCCGTCAGTTCGCAGCATACAGAATGACCGCCTGTAAGTGGCTACAGCATAAAGATCGCTGAAGTTTTAATGAGAATTCGTGACTAGAATCAAGTTGAGTGTAAGGAGCCTATGACGTTGGCTGGTGATCGTGCTACATGCCACGAATTGGCAAAAAGTCTGAATTCATTGACCAGCTGACGGATTCAGTCACAAGTGACTCAACTGTAATGGTGCCTGCCTTGTACTCTGAAAGTCTTAAGTTCGATCCCTGTTAGCGAAAGACAAGCGAATTCGTTTTAATGACTGCTGTTATATACCCACCTATGAAAATTTTCGCACGAAGTGTGGTTCATTGGTCTATTTCTGTGCTACATACCTGACCTATTTATCAACATATATACATATCATTGAACCTTTAAAATAATCCGTTTACGAAAAACAAGCTACATCAGTTAGACATTTCAATTACTTGTTGTTTCGCCTCACTAAATCCCCTTCCTTCCAGGCTGCTCAAACTTGAAGAACCTACTATTAACAGACATCAAACAGCATTATTTAACCGAGAGTTTCATTCAAAACTCCATTTGCGTTAATATCCAAATACCTCTGTCTTAATGGCATGCATAAAATGTATGATGAAATAAAAGAAATTTTGAAAATTAATCGATAATAATGTTGCCAGTATTGTTTCAATCGAATTTGGCGTCTTTTTTATATTGCGATAATATTAATAATAAAAAATTGAGAAGAAGAAATCTGAATATTTTAATGTCTTGTCATTTATAAGGGTAATGCTGTTCTTTTGCTCCCAAAAGTACCATAAGCTTTCATCTCAGATAGATTAAAAATGACAAACATTGAAAACTGTACAATGAACAACATACCTCTAGATACCTCCTTTAGGTTCTACCATGGATTATTAATAGTTGGTATTACACACCCATGACCCTGTATTGTACATTCCATTGTTAAACACTTTGTTTTAACTTGTATTTACACAAAATGGCGTTGACGCCGGTACATGTAGGTACAAGTTAAAACAAAGTCTCTGTCATTGAAATGTGCACTATAGAGTACATGGGTACATAGGTAAGTTGTGTTGAGTAAGGGCTGGTAAAGTGCAGCTAATCCAAAACACTATCAAAAATTAACATCTCCACTAGAGATGGAATTTACTGTCAAAAATTATTCTGGCAATCACTGGTGGCTTACTGCAGGAAGAACTTATCTGAAGCACTTGTGAAAAGTCATGACTACTGGGGGCTACCAGGTCCAGCGTGACTGAATAGTCAGTGGGCTTGGCGTCGTAACTCCAAATGTCTGTTACTGTTATCTGCTTCTGGAACTCCAAGTAGAACATGGGGCTTTAGTGTCACATTTCCGACTGTACCAGTGAAGCGATCGATGATAAACTAGAAAGACTTACATAAATCACTATTCAGAATAGATTTCCTACAAAATTCATCTAGGAAAACATGAGAGTAATGAAGAAATTTGAAAGAAGAATCCAGACTGTTCCGAAGAAGTTGCTGTTTATGAATGTTGAATTTAAAGGTGACACCATGACTGCTGCTGCTGCTGCTGGATTCAACATAGAACTAGGCACCGAAGTGCACTAGTTCGAGTTGCCACGTTCCAAATAGCACACAAAGGTAGACAGGAAAATGAGAGAAGAGAATCAATAGAATTTAGATAAGTATAAGAGTGAAACAGAATGAGTAATGGTAGGAAGGAATATGAAAGATTACAGAGACTGAATACATCTGCGCCATTGACAACGATTTTGAGCCATGTCACCTAGTGTCTCCAGCCATTGATTCTTAGAGTCCCGAGGGCGGGCCCCAACCCGGAAGTCTGCATCTCCCTACCTGACTCAGTTTAACTGTCAAGGATTTTATGGATTGATGCCATGTTTTTGTGTGGCCACCGCTTACTCTTTTCCAACCTGCACCTATATCAGCTAGTAATGCCCGTCGGGGGAGACTGAGATTCTGAAGAGCTGTCTATCACAGTCGATTGAGATTAAGCATTCTTCTCAGATGAGCTATAAATCAGTTTCTTTAGTTGGTAAACTATCAGTGGATTTGTGATGGAGAAGTTGCCAATTTAAGCCGCTTCAGCATGTTTTTATAAACCTACTTACCTCTAAGGAGTTAATTTCAACTACCGCACAGTGCACACCTACGAAACACATTTCAGAATATTACCCGGCATGGTTGTGAGGAAGACAATCTAAGCATATTACTAGCTGAGTTTTACAGCATGCAGGGAGCTCAGGTAATGCATTTTCACCGAAATTCTCCTTTGAAAGTATCTACAAGGTAAGGACAAATGGTACAAGCACTGTCATTTTTCGATGCTTGTGCATGGCAGAGATGCCAGTGATTCGTCAGTACAACCTCAAATTTTTCTACACACATCATTAATATTATTCATCCCTTGCTTTCTGAGTAGAACAGACAGCTTCAGAACTGTTCTGTCTGGCTATGTCACTGCCCATAGAAGTTCACTACCTCTTGACATGGTCTCCACCATGTGACGTGCGAAAGATTAATTTGTGGCTTCCCGTTCAGGTTTCACTAAAGGATCTAGCGTGTGATTTTTATTCAACGATCTACATAGCATATGTCCAATACATATACATTTTATTCCGTATATATTTGTTTCACGATATGCTGTTGGCTGGTAAGGTGCCTGCTAGAATTACCTGTTGCTTGCCCTTTCTATATGGGCTAAAGATCAAAGAATCCAAGAGTTTTAAATCAATGAGGTGGGTTCAAATGAATTCTTCCCTACTAGATTACAGGATGAATCATGTATATATGATACTATTCATAACAAACAAAGAAAATACATGTGTACGGTGCAAAAGCTTGCACCTAGAAGGTATAACGTAATACAATATCTGTGAATTTATAGTTCATTCAGCAGGCAAGGAGCAGTTACCCAGGGGGGGACAGAAACAAGGACATATCTCAGATTCTCTGAATATGTACCAGAAAGTTTATATTTCAAGGGAAAAAATGCTTCGAACAGTGTTATTGTGAGACATCTTAATGATGTGGGTTATGCGGTAGAGACTGTGAAATTCTTCATGATTATTAGTAGATAGTATAACTCAACTCTACCCGAAATTCGCCGAAGCAATAGCTATCAGACGTTTAAGACCTAAATTATGTGTTCAGAAAGATTCGCCTATTAGTCTTTATTTCCCTTCGTGACTCAACGACTAGTCTCTTTGTCTCAGTTGACTACATAACACTTTGCTTCTACCCCCTTCCCACTCTTTCTGCTTTAGTGTAATTCAGTACTCTCTTGTTACTATGACTTGAGTTAAACTCACCACACTATCGCTCATCATCGTACTGCTCTCCTCTTGTCTTGACTACTCAACTCAGTTTTCAATGTATTCGACCACTAGTTTTGCGTGTTGGGAATTTTGTTTGAAGCTTAACCTCCTTCATAAGCTATGTAAGTGGCACTTCTGGACAATGTTTAGTAACAGTTAGAATATTAAATTCGTTTGAAATAGATATAGCACACAAGCCAGCTAGCCACCACAATCACTTCATTCGATATTGTGCGAACCGAAAGATCCAACAGAAAAAGGAAGATAAAATGATACCATCTACAAAAAAATTACATTTATGAATTGCAGTAACCATTACATCGGTCATCGAAGTGGGCGTTCCCTTCGAATCAGAATCCAGGATCATAAATTAACTGTGAAAAGACATGATATATATTCTTTCATAGCAACTTATGCAGATAATTATGGACATCAATTTGACTGAGATAATGTAAAAATTTTAAAAAAAGAGGAATTACCAAAAGTGCCTAAGAATTCCTAGAAGCCTGGTTGATACTCAGATGAATCAGCCATCGAATAACAAACATGTTATTATAGATCAAATATACCAACTATTAAAAAGTAAATCATCACGTGACGAGGAAGTTCAAAGACCAAATCAATAGAAAATGATCAATAGAGATGTAAATCGACTACCAGTCACGAAGATGGTTGCTGTCAAGAGACAGAATTCTATCATTCATGGATAATTTAAATCAGTTTATTTTGTGCTAAAACTTGTCTTAAAGGACAAGGGAAGGCTTCGCAGTTAAATAACCATCTCAGAGAACACAAGTAACTGCAAATCATCCACCTAGCTACATGTCTTCCCTATTATTTCAATATATGTGTATATATTCAGATAAGCTTCCAGTCAAACAGAACATGTTGGTTTTATTAAAACAGCAGTTAAAAATACTCCATACAAAAATAAACATCAGATTTCAATTTCACTCACTTTTAAGTGTTTGATAAAATGCCTCTTCAACATTGACAGAATCCAACGCCGAGGTCTCAATAAATAACATACCTTGTTGTTCAGCAAATCGTTGTGCATCTTCAGTTAGTATACATCGTAAGTGTTTTAAATCACATTTATTGCCGACAAGTATAATGACAATATCCTCTGAAGCATATTCTCTCAACTCTTCTAACCATCTATCCAAGTTTAAAAACGTGTGCGGTTTTGAGATATCATAAACTAATAGTGCACCGACAGCACCACGATAATAGCTAATTAATTTTATGAGAAGAAAAAAAAATCAGATTCAATGTAAAGATAAGTAAAAGTGAGTTATTAAAACAACAAAAGTGATATGTTCAATAGTATGTTGAGTAGTTATATATTAAATGCTCTGGTGATTCATTAGTACAACGGTCACCAGCCACACCATTAGGTTCATATTCGATTGTTTGCTGACGCACTGAGAAACCTCGTCCAGTTTACTAACTGTTAGTAAGCTAGGAAAAAAAGGTAAGATTAGTTGTGAAGAAGTACAACACCACCGCTATGGAATGTTCAATGCTTCAAGCCCTATATACCTTTCCAAACGCAAGGAATAAAGGATGTGTTTCAGGTATATACCAGCCAACTTTCCAGAGGCTTGAGTTCTGGAAATATTCTTTCGTAAAATCCTGAATCGTTAAGTAAAGTGAGAAATAATTCATATTCTCGCCTTGCAACCAGAAGGTCCTGGTGGGTGCGTGCTATTGCAGAGTCCCTAACCAGGACGAAACAGCTAGCTGCCCAGTACTCCCTGATAGGTTTCGCAATGGTTCTCTAACTGATGTCAGCTAAAGATGAAATCCTCTAACCGATCAAGCAAAATCCCTACAAAAGCAATACTCGAAAATATTCTTAAATGTTGATAATAGGAAACATTTATACCTTGAAAAAACTGAAAACTGCTTACGTATCAGTCACTCCAAAAAATCGAAATGCCTAACAGAACTTGAATGGCTTAATTTTTGATTTAAACCTAACGATACTCGTCCAAATAGTGTTTTCAAGTAGAGCCGAAAAGTGTTTGATGACAGTTACAAGCAGCCATGAGGATTTAGTCAGCTAGTTTGACCTGTTAGCTTACATCCAATTCTGATCATGAATTGACTGTAGTCAAAGAGGCGTTGAAAACGAAGGACTACTGGACAGCGAGATGTCTCGTCGTAGATTGGGACTCTTTATCAGTACTCACCCATAACCAATCCTTATAGCGATCGAACCCAAAAAATTTAGGCTACAAGGTGAATCAGTACATTCAGACAAAATTCAATAGTCCTGGAGTCGGTACCCAGTAGGTTGAGTCTCAGATGTGTACGGTGAAGAGTCCCAATCAGAGACGAAACATATTTTTGTCCAGTATTCCTTGTTAGTTCATGGTCAAAAATGAAATCAGTAATATCTTTGCAAAGTAATACTACTTTATTTAGGTAAATTTATATTTCCCGTTGGTTAATTCGTGTAGCAGAGAAAAGCGGCTCTGAGAATATAGCCATTCCAAAATTATCTACCCGAGCCATAGATATGCTCAAAGACGACTGGTTAGTTTCTTCAAATGCTGTGCGTTGGATGCCTACACTTAGGAATCTACCGAATTATGAAGATATGATGAATACACCGTCATCTAGGCAAGAAGGCTATACTGTTTTCGAGTGCATGTGCGTGTGTTTAACGTGATTAGGTGAAGGAATCACAAAGTCAATCAAGAGTCTTATATTGGCACATCTTGTAGGCGAAGAGCACACGAGTTATAAAAATTCAGCCTTTACAGTACTTTCTATACAAGGTGATGCCTCGATTCTCCATGTTTGTACGCCTTTGCTTATTAAGTATAGATGAGGCAGTGGTTATAGACAATTTTCAGACCAATCTTTGTGTTCAAAAAGAGTTTTTTCAATTCGCGTCTCTCCCGTGGCTTTCATCCATAACCCAGAATATTTATTTCTCCTGGTGACAGGATAACCGTATATTTTTATTTGTGCTGCTAATTGAATTACCGATATCATGCTGTGTTATAGTGGCATAATTTAATCTTAATTTCACAATTTGTCATTGTTATTAATATTATTTCATGGAGGATTTCATCATGAGCTGACATCAGGCAGAGAACCACTGGAAAACCTGGGAGTACTGGACAGCTGTTTCGTCCTAGTTTGGGACTCTTCAGTAGTACGCACCCACCGGGATTCAAACCTAGGACCTTCTGGTTACAAGGCGAGCTCGTAGACCATTCATCAGCCACTAGGACCCGGTCTAGTGGGAAGCCGTGACCAGTAGGGTACAGCAGGTTAAAGATGAGGCAGTAACTCATCTAAGAAGACATTGAGAAATGGTCGCGCTATGTCATGAATTGGCAGAAGTTAGAATTCAAGGACCATTGGATCGGGTCCCAGTGGCTCAATGGTCTACGAGCTCGCCTTGTAACCAGAAGGTCCTGGGTTCGAACCCTGGTGCTGGGTGCGTACTGATGAAGAGTCCCAAACTAGAACAAAACAGCTGTCCAGTACTCCCAGGTTTTCCAGTGGTTCTCTAACTGATGTCAGCTCATGTTGAAATCCTCCATGCAATCAAACAAAATCCCTACAAAACCAATACTTGAAAATTATTATCTAATCGTTATGTATAATGGTTATTTTCCCCTGTACTCCTACTAATATACACATTCTGCTTATACTCTGCTTCATTATATTTGATTCTATTGATCCAAATTGTTTTTCAAATGTCTGCAACTAATATTTTATCATGTAATTGTATAGCCTGATGAGAATTTACTGAAAATAAGTATTTGCCCAAATTGTGTTCGATAATTCTTCCAAGCACCGCAGTGACTTCAGATAATTCCATATTAGTTTTGTTTATTAGACGCATCAAATATATACATTGGCGGCCTACTTAAAACTTGAGCTACCGAAAACTTCCATCTCTCTAGCTATTGCATCTATTTTCTCTCGTCCGACTTGTTTTAATCGATTAATTATATCACCTCTTATGTTATTATTATCTACTCTTGTGTGTTCCTGAAATGTTTACAAACTACTGATTTGCAAGTTCCTACTAAACTTGAGGAAATGCCTGATTGTGGATGGCAACATGTTCCAGTTCATGATAAAAGCTGTTCTTCAGTTATGTAATTGGGTCTCAGATTGTGCTTCTGGACATCTCACAATTGGCTTTCACAGCTAGATATCGTGGATTTCTTGAGGGAGACAAAGCAGATTTTTATCATAATGGAATGGTTTGTGCTTCATCAGCTCAGAGACCATTGTGTCACACACAGGATATATTAGTGTCAATTAATATTTTACTTGAAGACATTGATTGTACGAAAGGAAAATATCATGCAATAAACTCCTCTGAAAATTCTGTACATTACATAAATACTGTCTCAGGCACAATTTATTGTCCATAATCGTTGGTATTAGATGGTTGGAGGTCGGCAGGAAGCCTTGGACCTTGGGTTCGAATCTCAGAAGGGACATGAGTTCCTTCAAGGTTGCAGATACGCCTTGCTGACTGATGAGTGAGAACTAGCACGAAACCTAGGTCAGGGGAGGCTTCCTGCCGATTGCCTCCAACCATCTAATACCAACAATTCACAGTGCACCGTAATGGTGAGCCACCTAGCATGATGGCCACATTGCAAACATGACTGATAGAATTTAGTCTGCAGCGAAGATAGGACTAGACGCATTACACTAGTTACTGACTAGTGTGCAATCGAAAATTGTCCATAGTCATATCACTCCTAACTGCATACATACTATCACAGTGCCAAAGTGTTACACAATGGTTCTCTAAACTATGTCAGCTCATATTGATGAAATCCTGTAACCAATCAAATCAGATCCCTGGAAAACCAACACTTGAATGTATCAATTTGACTACTGATAAATTTTCGTTAGTAAATCTAGCATCAGTCGACTGCACGGAACAGGAAGGAATCAGGAAGTAATATTCAGTCACTGTTAACCCCGTTTCATTTCATTTTTTTAATGTTTGAAAGAGGCATATCTGAGAAAGATATCGTTCGAATGCCATTCCTTGTGTATTCCAATTACCAACTAAAGAATGATAAAAAAGGGTGTTGGTTTACAGCGATTTGGTTTGATTGGTTACAGGATTTCATCATGATGAGCTAACATCGGTTAAAGAAAGACTGGAAAAACACCAGGGAGTACTAGACAGTCAGCTGTTTCGTTCCACTACTGTGGGACTCTTCAGCAGTAAGCGCCCACTACAAGGGTTTGAACCGAAAACCTTCTGTTTACTCGGCGAGGTCGTAGACCATTAAGCTGCTGGGACCCACGAGAGGTCGTGACCAACGGGGCACAGCAGGTCGTCAGATGTGAAGACAAATACTAGCCTATTGCCAGTCACGCTATATCGTGAATCGGCAGAAGTTGGAATCTATGGTCTGGCCATTGGATTGGTCTACGAGCTCGCTAGCTTTGTAACCGGAAGGTTCTGGGATGAGATCGTGGTGGCGGAGCCTCAAACTAGTGGGACGAAACAGCTGTCCAGTATTCCCTGTTGGATTTCCAATGGTTCTCTAACTGATGTGTCAACTCAACATGATGAAATCCTGTAACCAACTAAAGAATGTCTTAAGATCAAACAAAATGGATCTTTTAAACAAAAAGAAATACTAATTTATCTTCAAACATTCGAAACATAACTAGTTGGTTATCTGATACAACAATTTCACAATTAACATCACCATTAACCAATGAGAGATTACTAAATTTCTATTCTAATCAACACAATACAAATTATATTGATTTATTTTGTTTACTGATTGAAATTATTATTTTTTAAGTTTCACAATAAATTTATACCCTCACTCTTATGAAATCAATAAGAACAAATATGACTGAGGAATGAGAGTTTCAGCTAAGCAAAACAGAAAAATACAAGAGAGAATTAATTTTATCCCAACTCGGAGGATTTAAACCTCATTTCACGATGGGCATCGAAAACATGACTTCAGGTGGTGAAAATACCTGGCCAGCAATGTAATATAGTAGAAGAAATCTGAAGGATACTCTACCTTTCAGTTAGCTTGATAGCACTTTCTTAACTACAACAAGCATGGAGAAGGATGTCAAAGCAAGCCAGAGTTGGATTAGGGAAGCAAGACGGGCATTGATTACTCTGAAATCAGGTCAATAGTGCTTAGCACAAGGAAGAAAATTTTTATAATACCAATATCAATTCACTGGAGAGCGACTTATCG